GGAAAAAAAGAGAGAATGAAATGGGAAAAGAAAAAGAGAAGAAAAGAAAGGCCATTGTATCTTATGAGTTCAAATTTATTATAAATTAAARTATTCTTCATTAAAATAAGGTTGAAAGAGGTTCTTTCATTTGGTATACTGAGATGTCTTTGTCAATTAACTACAAGGTTCAGAAATGGGTTTCTTGAAACTTAACTCTCATTCATTCATTAGAAGGCAATAGTTTTTCACGAGAGGCTGAGATTTAAGTATGGTACTTCATCTTGATAAGGCCCTATGTGCCACTAGGTACAAAGAGGAAGATTGACTTCATCTTGATGCTAGTGTATGACTAATGAAATTTTTAAGTGAGCTATTGAAGCAATCATTTGATATTTTGTCATTTTTTCTATCTAAAGACTCGAGAAGAACAAGCCCAGATTACAAGTCAAGTAACAGGACAGATAGGATGGAGAAGAGAAGGAATAAAATACAGAAGAAATGAGCTGTTCCTTGATGTGTTGGAGTCAGTCAATTTACTCATGTCTCCACAAGGTATAATATCAATAAATCACTAATAAAATCAATAAAATACATCAATGAATACTTCCAAACTCCTCTAGCTAGAGTGCAAACACTAAAACCATGGAAAACATTAGTAGTAATTAAACAGGGCTAAACAGTACTGGATTATTTTAATTGTCAACTTTAGATATTTTGGTTCGATCACTATGTACAAAAGAACGCACACGAGACTCCAGGAAAACAATGGATAATCTTGATTTATTCTTTTATTTCCCCGGAGCCTCGTCTGCAATTCTTTTGTGCATGGTCACTGAACCAAAATATCTAAAGTCGGCTATTCCTTTGTTTTCTATTGCCAATTTACACTGTCGTGGTATTTCCCAGTATTTGGTGAATATTTCTTAGTGTTTTTCAAAGTTTATGTTGACAAATGTGTAATAGTCTCCTTCACAGTTACCTGCGCCATCTTGAAAGGTAGTCGTGCCTTAACATCGAAGCAAGACAACCGTTGAGCGTGCAATGATAGATACCTGTGAATAATTGTCTGTAGGTGTGAAAGAAGGTTTCTATCATTGCACGCTCAACGGTTGTCTCGCTTCGATGTTAAGGCACAGCTTCCTTTCAAGATGGCGCAGGTAACCGTGAAGGAGACAATTTACCATACTCACCGTATTCTTAGGACAAGTTCTAAGCGCCCATGTGTCTGGTCGTGTTGTTATGAAGAGCTTCTTGTCCGGTATGCCAGAATGTAAATTTGGCATGAATGACAAGCTTGTTGTAGAGAAACAATCAGCCAAGGCTTCATCCTCAGAGTCATCCATGGATAACATAGGCTCAAAAAAGTAAGTCAAATCCATTGTATTCCTGTTGCTTGTATTCCTTTTACAGTGTTATACAGAAGCCAAGGAAGAGTGTGAAAAGATAACTTTAATACCGTAAAAAAGTAGGTGAAATAACTTACTGACATTTGGACGTTTATCATTCTCGTAGTAAGGACAACGAAGGATTAATATCCGAAACGTCAAAAAGTTATTTCACCTACTTTTTACGGCATTAAATTTATCTTTTTACACAAGTGTTTCTTTGAAACACTGACACTGACACTAGTTTACCGCTAGTTCCCATCATTTCTCAAAACATTAGACAAAGTTCCCTAAACGGCACATGATGATAACCAATATTAGCTCTATAGGACCTTCAATGGTATGACTGCTCTTACCACGGTTTCTGATTAGCTGTCAATGAACTTTGTCTCTTCAAACTTGAGTACTGACAATTCTTAAAATCTCATGCAAGCGGGCTTAGCCTCAAATCTATACGTAAATTTCTTAGATATTCCAAATGTTTCGTACTGGAATTTTGAGAATAGTCAATAATGAACTCAAGCTAAACTAATTGGTGAGCCAGGCTCAATGAAATCCAGTAGTGGATATTTTTTTAATTATTTCTCTTCTGTAAATTGTTTTCTAGAAAT